GGTAATATGCAGCATATATATTCATGACTTTTTACCTTTCTACGAAGTAGGCCATATTCACAATGCTTTAATATTTTGAGAGCATGGATAAAGACATGTTGTTAGTTTGATACGTGTTTCTGTGGTAATTTAGTGTTTCCAGCTGTGTACTGAAAACATAACAATTCTTAAGCATTTTTTTTTTTTTTGGACCGTTTTTTTTTTTTTTTTCGCCCGCTCGCACCGACTTTGGGGTCCCCAGAGGATGTCATCCATAAAAATAAAAAAGTGTGGCCTTAGGGAACAAAGAGAAAGCTATAACTGTTGAGTGAAGATTTCGTAAGGGAACTGTCCTATAATGCTACACAGGACATGCATTTGAAACAAAAAATGTTTTTCAATTGTACGAAATTGTTTGTACCACTTTTTAAGTCATCAAGTATATTTGAGGCTTTTTTCAAAAAGCGCATAGAAGGAAAAGTCTTGGCCATCTAGTCTTTTCCAAATTTTTGGGCCACTTTGATAAGCTATTTGTTATTCAAAGGGTTACTTTGTCTCATCTTTTACATAAACTATCATTTATAACATATTTGTTATTTATACCTAATTGAATTTCATTTGGCAGGTTACAGATGCTACAAGTGTGTTGACTGTGAATTTTGGCACATGAACATATACACCACCGGGTGCCTTTACGGATGCAGAAAAACTATTATTAGTAGCAGTCCTGCAGGTGCTATAGGTCTGTATAATAATAAATTGTAGACAATTATATTTCAAATACGTTAACTGTAGTATTTTGTGAAAGAAATAAATTTTGATTTACATTTGTTAAATTCTGAGTTAGCTAAGTTGCCTTTGTCTTGCTTGGCATAGACGTGCGCTTTAGAAGAAAGTAACATATTGTGAAAGTAATTAATTTTAAAGTGTTAGGTCAATAATTTTATCGTTTTCACTAGACGTGTTTTTCATTACATTGCTTACATAGGAGGCGGTAAGTCACGCTGAAGTGTTTTAAAGATAAAACAGCTTTCTTTCTTTTTTTCTTGAAAAGGTTGATGTTTGTTTCTGATGTTGTTAAATCCATTTATTAAGAATGGTGGGATTTTGAATGAGTTACAATAAAGACACTCAAGACAACATATCTTCTGTCTTTAGATATATTTCAATATAGATACAGTTGTTCTCAATTGTGTAACATTATTTGTAAACTATATATCGTTAACGTTCCAGACACCACTCTCACCAGGACCGTGTCACGTGACTGCGCAGTGTATTCCTCACAACGCCCCGTGCGCGACGAATGCCTCCTTCAAAGTACGGAAAAGCGGATCGATTGCACATGCCTGTCCAATATCTGCAACAAAGCTCAGACGATAAAAACAAATGGAATGCAGTTTTTGTTAGGACTTCTAGTTTTTGCTGTCGTCTCAATCATTTAAATTTGAGAGGTTTTAAAGCTCAATAAACACTTTTGCTACCTGAGTTTCAGAGAACTCACGGGGACTTTCATGACAGCGCTTACCGTTATGGAATAAAGAGATGATGGTCCAGGTCGGCGGGAACATCCTTAAACTCAGGGGAATTTTGCTATCTTCCTCTTCAAATAGCATGACTTCACGGAGAAAGGAGTCCCCCAACTACGACCCCTCCTTGTTTGCTGTGTACTAGGCGATTTACCCAACTACGTAGACATTTCAAAACAGCCATTGAATTGTATATTGTTTTGTATAAATTTATTATTTAAATGATAATCGCTGTAAGTAAAGGTTTTTATGCTATGATAAGCTAAATCTAATTTAAATGCAAAAATCTAGTTTCTAATGTAAAAATGGAGTAGATAATTGTTTGGGATTAGTTTCGATCTCATTGCAAATTTTGTCCCATGGAGTGTAAATACGCTTGTACATTTTGAAAATAATTTTAAATAAAGACACTTATTTTCTTCGCTTGTGCTGTATGGCGCTTCCTGCAAATCACAAATATAATTTCTACAAATATAAAAAAATGAATATATATTTTTACGCTTACGTTATCAAATTTTTAAGACTTTGGCTAAAAACCCGCCATTCAAAATGTATACCCCAGTAGCCTTGACTTATAAGATTTTTTGTTAAACATTTTAGTTGCTGATTGCGTTCTTGGTGAAATATGGACGAAAAAAATGTTTCAAGGTGCATTCTAAGTATGCCTTATTATTTTAATAAGAAAAAACGAGTACGGCATGTGCAGATTTATTTTTAACGTGAACAGTTATATCATTAAGTATGTAAATCGTCATATTTGCTTGAAATAACTTCGAAGGGGTCGTGTGATAGAATGTGATTTGAATTAAAGTATCTGCGTTTGTGATTATTTTTGGTGTTACATACAACAAATTACTCGTGTGATGTTATATCAAGTCAAACAGTATCAACCTTGCAAACTTGAAGTTCGGTGATTGATTTTAATCAATAATGAAATGAAAAACTTGAAAGAAAAGGCCGTCGATTAAATCAAAATCCTGCTTGAAAACGACAAAGGAGTCGCTGTATGAAACGGAAAGACTTGCTGTATGACTTCTTTGAGTAAAAAGAATACCGATTTGATGAAAGGGGAAACTTCGCGTGCAATCCAGTACCCGGCCCGGTGCCCATGTAGGCCCAGTTCAGTTAGGCCTTTTATTATTCATTATGCCGCCAAAATCATTCTGCAGCTGGACCTATCAATACAAACGCCTTCCAGACATCATTAAGACTTTGAATCCAAACTTAATATTTTCAAAATAAAATCAATAAATATTAATTATATATATAATAAATATTAGAAAAAACCGAGGGTGCCACAATCAGGGGTCTCGGGAATACCTCTCAGTAAGCTAAATTTAGAACATCTCACGTGATGAGGAAATTTACTAAACATGGCGGTGTGTGGAACGGCCGCCGTGGTGTTTTGGTTTTTATTTTCGTCAATTCTTCCACTAATAGCCGATTTTCCTTTCCGAAACACTTCATTAAGCTGGGAGGACCGCGTGAACGATCTGGTGGATCGATTAACCATCGATGAATTAACGTTGCAGATGGCTAGCGGTGGAAGGGAATCTTCGGGTCAGGCGCCTGGAATCCCTCGCCTGGGTATTCACCCGTACATGTGGACACAGGAGTGCCTGCACGGTGTGGTGCATGCTAGAAGGTCCACATCGTTCCCACAGTCTCTCGGACTAGCTGCTGCATTCAGGTATGACTCTGGGTCAAAAAATTTTGTCATGCAACTCTTAATTATTTCCATGGTCAGTTCTCTTTATATGTTTTTTTTAAAGATGTCATTGACTTCATTGATACTAGAAGTTTTTCGTTCTTGTGCGCCTTGTGTCACGCTTAATACTAGTCGATGAAAGCATAAGTAGGAGGGGCAGAAGGCATGCAACATATTTAGAGATGAAATACGATTTGCACTAAAATGCACTGTAGTTTATTCTAACTTTTTAAATTAAACTTTATTTATAAATTAAAGTGTATAACATAGTGATATATATGTATATCTCAGAATGATGTTTAAAGCTATACTTTTCTTTCAGTCCCGAACTCATTTACAATGTGTCTAGAGCAATAGGCATGGAAGTACGGGCTGTTCACAATAACCACACCAAGTATGGTCAGTATGGAGATGACTCTGGACTGTCCTGCTTCAGCCCAGTTGTGAATATCATGAGACACCCATTGTGGGGAAGAAATCAAGTAAGTTTCGAATAATATTTACATTGTATAATTTATTGTCAGGTATTGTACTGTTTTATTTTGCATTTTTATTACAGAGGAGCAGGGACCTAAAATCAGTTTGACTTGATTCTCATTTCTGCTTTTTTATTGAATTAGTGGTTTTTAAAATTATGTCAAGATAAGGCAATATCAAATTTTATCAAAAAATGTAGTTTTTGGTAAACTCAAAATTCCATTTTCCAGTTTACATTTGTACATAAGGTTGTGCAATATATAATCTATATTTCAAGTCTGACTGAGTCAGTTATGACATAAGGTGATTACTGTATTAATGTTTTAAAAATATTCCTAGATGAACACCTTTAGATTGTGTCATTTTGTTCATTAAAATTTTCCCAGCAATAAAGTATTTGTTAAACTCTTTTTCTAGGAAACCTATGGAGAGGATCCTTACTTGACCAGTGTTTATACTGACCATTATGTCCGTGGCCTACAGGGTGACCACCCCAGATATGTCCTGGCCAGTGCTGGGTGCAAACATTTTGATGCTTATTCTGGACCAGAAAACTCTTCTTTATATGATTCTGAGGTGAAAAAAATATGCTTAAGTCTTACTTATCTGAGGGTTGTTAAGGGCATTTTTATACGAGGATCGTTTTTTAGTGACACTGGCATGAGCACTGATGTAAAACAAAATTTTCCTAGGTATCATTGTTGTAAGGTTATTCAACAAAGCATTTTTTTTAACTTTGACATAAGAAGCTCTGAATGCCAATGTGTTTATGAACATGAACTCATAACACAGATTTGCAATGTATCCAATTTGCAAGGTACGAAGGCAAAATGTATAAATATCTGGAAACTGTTCTGTTATTCCATCAGACTAATTATTTCATAATGCATTTTTGTACTAGTCTAGTACTTGTGTTTCTGTTGCTCACTAAATGTGGCTAGATTTCATTACTTATTGAATACAATGTTTCAGATATCAGAGCGTGACTGGCACCTCACCTACCTTCCTGCATTCAAGCAGTGTGTGAAGTCTGGCAGCCTGGGCTTCATGTGCAGTTACAATAAGTATGTGAAAAACAAAAAAGAAATTAAATTGCGCCATGATATTAAAGTTTGTCATGTGAAAAGGCTCATTACACACATATCTGGGTTTATTCTGTAGCATGCAGATCTTCTGATAGATAAAGACATTGTGAGATTGCAGTTATCTTATGTTCATTTACAAGTTTTGTGATATAACATGAGACTAATGAAGTACATGGTTTATGAACGTGGAACACTCATTACTTCTATGTTTCAGAGTCAATGGAATCCCTTCATGTGTCAATAGTAAAATGCTTGATAACATACTGAGGCAGCAGTGGGGTTACAAAGGGTACGTCATCAGTGATATGGGTGCACTGGAATTCATTATCTCTGTCTTTGGATATTACAACAACACCGTGGACACTGCTGCAGCAAGCATTATGGCAGGGACAAACCTGGAGTTGCCTCACCGCTTGGCTCAAGATGGCGTGTTCATGTCTATTCCTAAAGCAGTCAGTGCCGGAAAACTGACATTTGATATAGTGAAAGAAAAAGCAAAGCCCCTCTTCTATACTAGGATGAGACTGGGAGAGTTTGACCCTCCTGAATTGAATCCATACAGTAAAGTTGATATTTCTGTAGTTCAGAGTTTGGCACACAGAGAACTGGCAGTGCAGGCAGCAGTGAAGAGTTTTGTGCTGCTCAAAAATACAGATAAATTTCTGCCATTTCAAAGGACATTTGAATCCATAGCTGTGAGTATTTATTAAATCTTTTATGTGTTCCAGCATTGATTTTTTTTTTTCGAAATGTTTTACAGGTTGATCTTTTTGTGATTACAATTACTATACTAAGGGTCCAAAAGTAAAACAAAATGAGGAAAAGTGTGACCTGTTGTGATAATTACTTTATTTTTTTCAGTAAACATTACTGAAAGAGGGGTTTGCATAAAGCTAGATTACATCTATTGATATTACACATTACTTTGAATCTGTCATTGAACTTTGTCATTTTTCTCAAATTGAAGTTTGCATTTCCAGGTTATTGGGCCTATGGCAAATAACACTGACCAATTATTTGGAGACTATTCTGGGAATATCGACACTTCTGTAGCACTGAACCCCCTACAAGCATTGAGGACCAAAGCTCTGTACACAAAATTTACAGCTGGTTGCAAAGACACCGGATGCGAAGAATACAACAATGAGACAATTTTAGAGACTGTATCCAAAACACAAATTATATTTCTTTGTTTAGGGACAGGTTAGTTGATTTGAAAAAATATATAATTTAATCCAGCTCTGTAGTCAGTGGTTGACCTTTTGTTACAGGGGTCAAGTACACGCCAAAGGGAGAGATCAAGTAAATAATTATAAGGAAGCCTTGTCCACCTCAATCTGGCTACAGTTGTGTAGTTTTTGCCTGAAAGTAATGTGCATGATCACTACCAGCAGATACAGTTAATGACTTGCCAGTTAGTTTTATTTTCAAGTCGGCTATTCTCTGAAGCAATGGAAATATATGCAAAGAAACAAAATTTTCCATGATCCATTATACTTGATACTTAAAAAATCAGTTCACGCGATGGTTACTCTATCATGGACCTTCTTCTTTCTTTGAATATAATCTTTAAAAGCAAGATGATTAGAAGAATATTTGAATCTAGTTATATTTCAGGTGCTATGGTAGAAACAGAGGGCAAGGACCGCACAGACCTTCAGCTCCCTGGAAACCAGCCCCAGCTTTTGAAAGATGTCATGCAAGCAGGTATTATAGAAATATTGTTACAATCACCAGGTGACACTAGATTGTAACATAGTTCTTGCCTCTGTGGCAAACGGTTGTGGATTTGATACATCCTGGTTATTTGAATACATGTCAAATGCAGTATCTGCAGAATTTTTTTCTTTATTATTATTATTATTATTATTATTATTATTATTATTATTATTATTATTATTATTTTATTTCATTTTGTCAAAAGGATGTGACCAGAACATGCTCCACTCTCTACAAAGGCAATTTGTTTTAGGAAAACCTCCATATTTCAATTTGTTGTATTTCAGCCAATGGCATCCCAATTGTCCTGCTCTTATTCAATGCGGGACCACTAGAAATTTCTGCAGCGAGTCTCAATGACAGAGTGCCAGTTATCCTGGAGTGTTTCTTCCCTGGTCAGGCCACAGGAGAGGCTCTCAGACGGGTGCTG